AAATTATTGTAAATAAAGTACAGGTAGTTGTTAGTATAAAAAGCCAACACCACCCCAAGGGTGGTCAGTGTGCCACAACCCAACCTGCTGGACAGATCTCAGCAGGTCAGAGAAAGAATGGAATAGAGAAGAGAAAATAAACAGCCTTGAAAAACTGAGGAATCTCAGAGCTGAAGAATCTCAACTTCTTCGGTTGTGGGGCTGGGAAAAAGAGACTTTTTAATATCTTGGGAGCCATTTCAGCAACACAAAACCTGAGACCCTCCCAAACACCAAATACACCCTTGAGCACCCTCTCTGCTGGCTCCCAGAACCCCTCCAGCCCCCAAAGCACAGCACCTCACCCCTGAGCATCCCTCTGGAGCTCAGCCCTGCCAGGAGGGAGCTGGGAGCTGCCCACGGGGTCTGATCTCTGATGAAATTACTGATGAAATTACTGTTCCCACAGCCTTGACTCACCCATTCTGGGCACCAACCAAACCTGGCTGGGGTCTAACAGGGTTTCTGATGGTCTGGGTGCTTCACCTCCTCCCAAACACCAATACATCCACGAGCATCCCTCCCAAACACCAAATACATCCATGAGCACCCTCTCTGCTGGCTCCCACAACACCTCCAGCCCCCAAAGCGCAGCACCTCACCCCTGAGCATCCCCCTGGAGCTCAGCCCTGCCAGGAGGGAGCTGGGAGCTGCCCACGGTGTCGGATCTCTGATCTCACCCCCTCCCCTGCGTGCCAGGGCTGCGAGGGGAAGCCCAGGGCGAGTCAGCAGGAAACGCATGCAAATGCTGCAGCTTGAGAAGCTGGCTCAGGAAAGCCCCAGCACAGCCTCAGCCACCCTCAGCCCCTTCGGGTGGGCCAGCACAGCCAGCCTGGCACTGCCAGGGGGCACAGCAGCCACACAGGGCACCCACAGATCCCTGGGAGTGAAAACTCCCATGGAAAGGGGAAAAAAAATCAACCCCACACCTGGAGGACAGGCTGTCCAAGATATAAAGGCAAAAAGTAATGCTGATTTCTTCCCTGGTTTTGGCGGTTTTTCTTACAATAACAGAGCCAGCTAGCTGTTTGCCAGACTGAGAGTGTCAGGTCCAGGTAGGGCCTTGGCACTGCTCTCCAGACAGGCACAGGTTTGTGCAACTGCACTGCCCAAGTGGGAAACAGCTCCCAAAACCAGGAATTCTTCACTCAGCAAGGCTCATCCCTTGGGGATTGTGCTCAGGGTCACAGCCTCACAGCAACACCTGAAAATTCTGCTTCTCCCCAATGTCTCCTTTAATACCTTGGTCCCATTTAGCCTTTCCTACCCTTGATGGGCACTAACAGTGCTGGCCTGGGCTGTGCCCTCCTGGATTGCCATCAGCTGTGCCCTCTGGCTCTGCCCTGCAGGAAACAGAGGTGTGAGGAGCCACACACAGCACAAATCTCATTAATTTGTTCTGTCAGCACCAGTGGATTTGAGCTTGTGTTTTAACTGTTTTTCCGAGCTCCCACCAGCCTTGGATGGGAGCAGATTTGGGGAAGCCAAAGCCCTGGGCAGGGTCTCCCTGGGCACTGAGAATCTGTCACAGACGCTGCTGCTGGCCCAGCAAAAGGAAAAGGAAGAGGTTTAGATGGGCTTTGAGGTGTTGTGATTTCTCACCACACTGTGACAGTCACACACCACGACCTTTTCTCCTTCCCCATCCCGCTGTGACTGTGGAGCTGGGGAATGGGCTGCACTTAAACATCACCTCCAAACAGCTCTCAGTGCCCTTTCTGCTACCCTGGAGCCAGGCCGAGGAAAAAACCCAGGTGATAACCAGGCCAGTAAGATTTGCCTGCGTGTGATCTCCATGTAATGTTCTTTTTTTTCAACGCAACGGCATCACACATCCTTGTGGCCCTGCGAGTCTGATCCTGGGGTGACTAATTCAGGATAGTCCCTAAGCCTGAGTACACCCTGCACCTCTGCAGTGCTGATGACACCAGGCAGCAGCTTTGAGACAAGGGAATTACCCAAGACACATCTAATCTGAGCCCTGGCTCTGTTTGCCATGTGATAAGTGGGCAGGCTGTGTGCCCTGAGCGTTGCATCTTGCTGGGGGGAGCACACAGGGTCCCCGTGGTGTGTCCCCATGTGGGGTGGCCAGGGACACCCCTGGGCTGTGGGGACACCTCTGTGGCTGCTGTGCTAAGTGCTGCCATGACTTGTGTTCAGCTTGGGGTGTCTTGGTGGTGTTTTGGGGACACGGAGGGCTCCACATGTGTCCCCATGGCTGCTCTGCAGGGCACAATGGGCATTGTTTGCCTTCGGGGCGGGTGAGCAGCCTCTGGCTTGGGAGGAACAAAGCCCCAGAGCCAGTTCCTGCAAACACAAAACATGCCTTTTTATCACTTCATGACAAATTGGTTTGTCAGCAGCAGGAAGTGATGTTACTGCCGTCCTCAGCCAGGGGAAACTCCTCGTGGTTTCCATGGGGATGTATTGCAACCGGAGAGCTACAGATTTATACAAACTGAAAGCTCCGCAAACGCCTGCTGTGAGCCAGGACGGGGGATTGGATACCACGGGATGGTCTCAGCTGAGTCCTGCTGGCACAGGGGGGGACACAGCCAGCTCATGTTGGAGGCAGAAAAATGGGAATTTAAAGCCCTAAACCGAGGTGAAATGTGTGCCGTAATATTCCAATCAAACAAAGCAGCAGAGCTGGGAGAATAAATAAGGGGTGGGAAGTAAAGATTCTTTCACAAAGTTCAGCCTGGCTGTGCCACCAAGGCATCCTCCTCCTCTGGATGTAATGTTCCTTTTTTTCATTGTAATGGCATCACACATCCTTGTGGCCCTGCGAGTCTGACCCACATCCTGCTCCTTCCCCATCGCTCCCAGCAAGCCCCCAGCTGATCCCAAGGTGACATTTGGACAAAGTCCCACTCTGATCTCCCTCCCCTTCACACCGGGGGAGCAGTTTGGGATCTGGGTGTGATCCCATCCATTAAAACCCACAGGAGCCTGAGACTGGGCAGCGTCAGAGTCGGATTACAGGGGACAGCAGGAGGATCCCGATAAAGCCCTGGCAAAGGGCATCGTGTGTGAGAGCTGGAGGTGCCGCTGGTGCCTGGCAGGGCTCACAGCAGCTTTGTGCTGAAGCAGCTCTCTTTTGCACCCCTCTGTCAGGTGCCTGCTTAGGTTCCAAAAGCTGATCTGCTGCCAGGTAATGAGTTTTATTGTTCCAAGAAACACATAAACAAGCTCCCGCGGCTGTCAGGGAGCGGATTTCTGTTTGAATTGCGATTAACAGGCAGGGTTTTTTTTTTTTTATCAGTTGCATGGCCAGGGCTGCCAAGGTTGTATTTTTCCACTGAACAAGCTCTGCTTTGCTTTGAAGGTGAAAGTTTGTTCCACCCTTTACTGCAGGTGTAAGAAGGCTCACGTATTCAGAGGCAGCCTTGCATATTTAACCAGGACAGCAGTGGCAGGTTCGAGGTGCCAAGGGATTTTCCATGGACAAAGGGGTTTTGCAGGATTTACAGCACAGGTTTTGGGGAGGACATTCACTTTGAGGTTTGGGTACACTTGAGGAAAATGTGAGTTTCTAAGTTCACTTCTCAGCGCTCAGGGATGTCTCCTCTTTTAGCTGCTCCATTTTCCCCTCCCTCGGTGTCAGGTTGAAAGTCGGCGAGGGCTGACGTGCGGTGCTGACGGCAGAGCTGCTGCTTCCGAGGGGCAGCTCACATGGAAGAGCTTCAGAGGCAGCAGAGCCTCATCCCATCCTCCAAGGGCACCTTCCCCCAGGGGAACAGGCCTGGATTTCAGCACCATTAACACCCCAGGTAACTCGCAGGATGGCAGCAGGAGTTTGGGGTGCTTTGCTCATCTTGCTGTGTGACGAGAGCACAGCTGCTTTGTGCTTACAAAAACATTCCCCTGTACAATCAAGATCACAGCTGTTTAAATCCCTTGATTTTACACTCACAACCTGGTGTGTGCCCCAGCAAAACCATTTTTGATAGTGCAAAAGTTGGATTTGACTCTTTGAATATCAGATATGCAGGAACTGCTGGCTCTCTTCTGGAGTGAGTATGGGACCCCAGAACCCTTCTGCTCCCTCAGCATCCCTCTCCCTGCTACCAGCACTACCCTGCCCAGGAAATGAAGTTTCCAGCTTCATCCCACAGCCCTCAGCTTCCCTGGGAAGGGGATATCACATCAAGGATGCTGTGCTGCCCCACAGAGCCCATGAGAGGTGCAGATGTGTCCCAGGAACCCTTTGCTGCCCAGCATCCTGCTCCTGCCCAGAGATGCTGCTGGAGCTCCTCTGCCTGGCTTTGGCTGTGCTTCATCAACTCTCCTCATTGCCTCAACAGAAACACCAGATCCAAGTCACTCTAGTGATAATCTCCAGCAGGAAAGAATTTATTTGGGTCTGGGTAATAAAATGGGTGAGTTGCTGGTTACCTGATCCCTTGTCATGCCCTGATTTGTTTACAGAGATAGCCCAGCCAGCTAAATACCTCACTGCAGGCATCAGGGGCAATTTGAGTTGCAAAAAGGATTTAAGGAGGTGGGACAGAAAAAGAAAAACGCTCTGTGAGTTTGTGCCAAGCCTTAGAGATCTGTTACTAACAGGTTAATTTTTAGACTTAACCTTTCAAGCATTAGAAGTAAACAAGGAATAAGGAAGCCTATTTCTCCTTCTTAGGAGAAGAACTATTTTGAATTCAGTGTAGCCCAGTGCCCAAGTCTCAGCTGGTTCTAACTGTTACAGCCATCAGGGCAGCCACATCCACTCCCAGCTGAGAAGCCAGCCCTGGCTCCCTGCCACTGCACACAATTACACGGGGACAAAGAAAAGCTCAGGTTAACAACCTGCAGTAGTTTCTAGTCAATTATGGTGCTTAAACCCATTTTTCTCAGTCAAGACCCGAGGCCAGAAGAGTTGAAAATTACAGCTCTTCACCCTGAAGCTTCACATGAGTCTTGGGACTGTGAAATGCATTTTAAAGACTATATAATCCAGATGAATAGAAATATCATAATTTATTCCGTTTGGTATAAAAAAAGTTATAATCATGTAACAAAACTATGTCTTCATAAGAAGAAATATATTATTTCACATCATAAATAAATCAGCAAACATACAACCCTTGGCAACTCAAAAGCACTCGCCTGGTGCTTTCATGTCAGTGCTTGGGAAACAAGAAGAGCTGACAGATATACACACACAGGATTATTGTACCAAAAAATACTGAGGTATTTGGTTTCTCTAGAACTGAAACTTTACGTTTGTGAAGGCAAAAAAAAAAAAAAAAAAAAAAAAGAACAAAAACCCAACAACAATGCACTAATGTAAAAATAAATAAATAGGACTGTCATATAAAAGGGGACAGCATCAGTGTTGCTCAAAGTGTCCAGGAATGGGAATACTGGTGAGCATGCTACTAAACATGGAGCAGGCTTGGGACAGACAGAAGACAAGGAGGGACAGCTCAGGAAGAGCCAGTGTCCTTTGATCTCTGTGCAGACATCCAGACATTTGTTGAGAAGTCAGAAAGACCTGGTTTCTCTGGCACTGGGCGAGCTCCTCTCCATGGACACCGTCCTGGGGTGCACCAACAGCTCCCCACAAAACACAAGTGACACTGTCCCTGTCCTTATTGCACTTGAGACAGCAAGTCTGAGTCCTGGCCACGTTCTTCAGCTGCTTCTTCAGCAGCTCGGGGAAGTAGTGATGGGGCTCTGAAGGTAGTTTAGAGCACTGGACGTGGTGTGGACTGGGATGGAGACGGGGAAGTTGAAGACGGTGGTGGTGGAGGCCCCTCTGTCCAGCACTGACATCGCAGGGCTCCCGGCCTCTGCTGAGCAGTTGGGGGCCAGCACCTGCGACTCGAACTGCAGCAGCTGCCCCATGAAGCTGAAATTCGGGGAGATGATGCTTCTCCTCTGCTTGACAAACTCGAAGGCTTCGTCCAGTTTGACTCTGTTGGTCCTCATGAGATAAGCAAGGCAGATGGTGGCTGAGCGGGAAATGCCAGCCTGGCAGTGCACAAAGACCCTTCCTCCCTCGCTCTTCACCGAGTCTGAAAGAATCAAAGCACGCAGTTAGCAAACAAGTCTCGCTGCTTCCAGAGGTGGGAAAAGCACAGGCTGCTGTTTTACATTTCTTTAATCCATCCTTTCCTTAGCCTAATAGGTGCACCCGGAGCTTTTGAGACAAAGGGAGTCTTTGTCCCGAGGAAAGCAGCTATTTTCACTCTGGGCTCCAATTCCAATTATACTAATAGCTCCTCCAGGTCACTTTAGCAGTCTTGCAAGATTACTTTAATACTGATCCGCTTAAATTCACTCTTTTCTGCAAGACCAGCGCCTCTTGAATCAAGATTTCAAACAGCTTTAAGGAGCTAGGATTATGCCTGTGAATAGAATTAAACTAATGGAAATGTTCCCCGAGTTTATCTTCCCAGTGGAATGTTATCCCCCAATCTCAAGTGGAGATTTTACCGCGGGAAAAAACATGCCAAAAATTACTTCCCAGGGGACATTAACCCAGAAACAGCGCGGGTTGCAAGAAAGAGCTCATTTACCGATGAAATCGATCGCCTCGTTGAACCAGGAGCTGATATCCGCCTTGTGGTTGTCCTCCACGGGGATACTTTTATACTGGTAGTGCCCCTCGAAGTGGTTGGGGCAGTTGGCCGAGACATTGATCAGCGCCGTGATGCCCAAAGCGTCCAGCATGTCCTTGCGGGAGGCGTGATAGGCGCTCCCCAAGTACAGGAACGGCAGGATTTCCACGGGCCCGCCCTGCCAACAGAGGAACAGCAGCGCTCAGCCCC